TGTGATTGATTTTATTGATTGAATCGATTTATCATCATAATTTTCATAATAGAAACACTCATAACATTTATTATGAAATTTAGCATCATCAAACTGATTTACCTTGAAAAACACAGAAATTCTTTCTTTATTTTTTTTTCAGCCAAAAAGTCATTAAACCCAAAACAAACCATCATCGAAAAGAGATCAAAATGAATTCTACTATTTCCACTATGTTTGACTATTTTGAAGGAATTTTTTTATGTGATTTTTTCAAATGTCACTTTCAGATCAAAACAAATGAAAGAAAGAGAACAAAAGGATTAAAAAATTGAAGAAGATTTAAATAGGAAAAATGCCTTGCATTGCCTAATCAACTATTAATTAGTATTTTGAATATTCGACCAGCAAACAAACAAACAAAAAACCAATTATTTTTTCGCATCAACAAAAAAAATCCATGAAGAAAACCATAACATAACTGAATAAAATGAAATCCGCATCTCATTCACTTTTCAAAGATGCTTGTGTGTTGGTGTGTGTGAAAGTTCAATGTGATAGCCCTTAATGATTTGCAAATATAAAGAGAAAAATTCAAATGGTAATTTTAAAAGGTGTCATTTTCTAAAGTCACTTATCAGTGAATTGATGATGATAAGGATGATAATAATGAAATTCCGAAATGGAATTAAGCTTGGAAAAAAATAACCAATCTGTTTGTTTGTTTGGATGTTTTGGAGATGAAAGTTCAAAGTTCGCAACCATTTCAGTGAACAATTACGAATACAGTATTTTTTTTTGGGGGTTTTTCAATTCACTAATAGCATCTCTATATTCATCATTTAGCTGAAAAATTCATCCATTCTTCACTGTCGTTTGTTGATTCTTTTTTTTGTCTAAAAATAATAATTGATTTGACCACCATCAGTGATGAAAAGCTTTTCAAAAAAAACAACGTTAACAAAATGAAAAAAAGAATCAACTGAAATTCATCTTTGATCTTTGTAAAGTTTTTTGTTCAACTAACTTCTATTTTTGTTGTTATTTAAAATTTAAATTATCATGATCATCATGTTTTTGTCAGGTAGCCAAATCAATGAATGAATGAATGAATGAATGAATGAATGAATGAATGGAATAATGGGATAAGCAACAAAGAACAAAGTAAGGGAGAAACGAAGGAAACGAAAAACATGTTAATCCATTTTGGGTAAAAAACATTGAATTTTTGAAAAAAAAATTTCAGATAAATAATGATGATAATGATGATTATCTTGGCGTGATGAAACGATTTAAAATTAGTTTAAGTATAGGGGGTTCGAAAGAATTGACTTCGAAAATCTTCTTTTTGTTGTTGAAAACTTTCACTTTAAAATATTTTTAAATTTTTAAAGAAAATTTTTAAGAAATTCAACAATAGATAATTATTTAGCTAATTTTAATCATCGTTATTTTTTAGAAGAAAAATATTGACATGCAAAAAACATTTACCTACCCGAAATAAAAATTGATTAATGAATGCTAATTTTGAACAAAAAAAAGGTAAAATTGATATTTAGGATGATGATCAAGATGAAGATGATTATGTAAACAAACAAGCAAGCAAACAACAAAAGAATTGTAAATTTGATGAGAAAATTTTGTTTGTTTGTTTGATGATGATGGTTATGAATTTAGAAAAGAAAGGATAATAAGAAAGGATGATGATTATTTGGATGCTGATCATAGGCGACAATGGCAAAGACGACGACGACGTAAAAAAAACTTATTATTATTAGAGTAGAATGTGTGGACAGATGTTCCAGAAATAATTTTCACGAAGAAGAAAAACAAAATATGATTTTTGAAGAAAAAATTGTTTGGCACGATGTTTCAATGAAAATTTTCATTCAACAACAAAAAAAAAGTATGGAAAAAAAACAATTGAAATTCAGGATCCACACACAGTGAATGTTCATAAAATTTTACAACATTTGGACATTTGATCGATTTGAATATAAATCGATATATATACAGGAAACAAACTTGGGCAAAACAAAAATCCATTCAGGTTTTTTTTTGCCTACAATAACAATTTCATCAATTTAAAAATTGAATCAAATATTTCCGTTTCGTAAGGATTTGAATAAACAAGGAAAAACACCTTGTAAAACAAAATCGATCAACAAAGGAAATTAACAAAATCGATTAACAAATAAAACACATCGAAAATGATAATGATTAGTGGTAAATTTTTTGAATAATCAACAACAACAACAACGGTAAACAAAAAGTCAGCGAAACACAAAAAAAACCGTTGTTTTTTCCTATGACAGAGAGAGATAAACAGATAAACAGACAAACAACGGATGAAAATGAATAAATATGGACACTACCTAACATTTGACAAACATTCATTCATTCATTTCATTTCATTCCACTGTAATTAAAAAACAAAACAAAACAAAACAAAAGTAGGAACTTTGAAAATCGTTGAACTTTTATTTCAGATTTTTGTTCAGATTATGCAAACAAACAAACACGAAAAACCAAAAAACATTTAAAATGATTCGGTGTCATTTGATATTGATGATGGTGGTCATCATTGATTTGATTTTATTATCATCAATGTTACATTGAACTTTTTTTTTGGATTTAGATTGGCTGATGGTGGTCCGAAACGAAGAAGATGATAAAATGAAATCCACATAACACACGATTCTTATTACCACCAATCTAAACGATGGTCAAACACAAACTGAATGGCCACTATAGTGGTGCGATGATGGTGCATTAGCATCAAGATGTAATGTTTTTTTTTGTTTGTATGGCAATGGTATGCGTGTTTATTTTCATGTGTCCACCACCACCATCACCGATTGTTGATTCGAGAGATAGGGACAGAGAGAGAGAGAGGATAGCGGCGGTTAAAACAATCAAAAAAAAGAAAAGAAAAGATTTTTTCAAAAAGAAGAGAACACACTAAACACATACTATAGCATCCGATGCAGGTGAAAAGGCAACTTTTTTTTCGCTGTTTGATTACAGGTGTGAGGTCTTTGCTTCGCGCGCCAAAAAAATTTGAAAAAAAATTTCCAATCACCAGTGTCGACATCTATGTTTTGCTAGGAGAAAAGATTGAATTAGAATTTTTTTTTTTTGATTTGAAATTCGAGAATTTTTAATTTTTAAAATAAATTTTAAAAATTTCATTTTAAAATGAAAAAATTTTCATTTTGTAACAAGGCAGTTCACGAACGTACATTATAAATATTGAAATAATGCCAAAAACAAATATTTTGGATGAAAAAAAATTGGAAAATGAAAAACAACAAACAATAAAATTCAATGAAACGGATAATGATGAAATGGATTTTCTAAAAACAATAACATTTACTGTGAAATCAGAAAATTTATTACATGATATAATGAAAAAATCATCATCCGCATCAAAAAATGAAATGATCGATATAAAACAGGTTGAAAATTTGGATGATGTTTTCCTAATCGGATCGCAAGAAGAAATTTATCGTTTAAAAATACATAAATATAAAGAAATTAAACATTATATTAAAGGTGAAGTATTAGGTCGAGGAAAATTTGGTGTTGTACGTGAATTTATTGATAAAAAAACGCTGAAACGTTATGCAGGAAAAATTATTCGTACAAATATATTGAAAAGAAATTCACATTTACGTCATCAGATTAATAAAGAATTAGCCATTACATATCATTTTAATCATCCAAATGTATTACGTGTTTATGATCTATATGCAACAAGTAAAAAAATCTATATGTTTATGGAATTTTGTTATGGTGAATTGGCTGAATTTCTTAAAGTTTATAAATGTTTACCAAAATCACAATGTAAAGAGTATGTATAAATGTTTGTAATTTTGGTCAATTTTTTATGGTCTTTTTTCCTTCCCCATTCGAAGCTATTTTGTACAACTAATCGAAGGTCTTAGCTATTTACATTCACATGGTATTATACATCGTGATATAAAACCGGAAAATATTCTTGTTACACCATATGATATAATCAAATTAGCTGATTTTGGTGTTTGTCAAGAAATATCAATATTTAAATTAGATGATATGGTATTTGGTAGTGATGGTACACCATTATATCATCCACCTGAATTATTTCATCCAAAAATTATTCATTATTCAGGTACAAAAATTGATATTTGGGCTGCTGGTGTTATATTATATCAAATGTTAACTGGTGAATTGCCATTTTTTAATCGAACAAATACAACCGAACGTGATATTGATGAAATATTAACCGAAAATGTTCAATATCCATTATCGCTTAAACAAGATGTATTATTAATCGATTTATTTAATGGAATATTTGAAAAAGATTTTCGACATCGTATGTCGATAATGGCCATTAAAAATCATCCGTATGTTTTATTCTTATAAAACTTTCTTTTCAAAATCTTTTCATTAAAAAATCTTTTTCCATTGATAATAGATGGATGCAAATCGATTATAATCGTCAACGTGATGAACCATTTGTTAAACTACCAACAGATAATTTAACAATTGATTGTTATCGTGGTTTAACAGTATTAACTAGAATTTATAATAAATATTATCCACCACCATCTGAAGAAAAATTAGTAAATTTTCGTCAATTTCAAGATTCATTAAAAATATTACCATTAATGCGTTCATCACGTTATATACAAGATCCAAGAAAAATTAATTTGATTGATGATAATAATAGTAATAAACAAGATGAATCATTTATAAAATTAGAATTAATTTAACAACAAAAAGAAAAATTACAAATTTAACAAAAATTACAAAAATTTTAAAAAAATTTATTTAATTTTTTATTCATTAGATGGCAGCAAATGTTTAATCAATATCATTTTTAAAAAAATTGAGCTTTTTTTTGGAGATGAGATTATCATTTCGAATCATAAACAAAGTCATCATCATCATGAGCATCCGGAATATTATTGGATCCATTCGCAAATGACGTGTCATCATGATGATTATTCAAATGATTCGATGTTGATGGTGATAATGGATCAATAATTATTTTATGATCAAAATCATGAAATAATATTTCTGATAATCGACATACTTTCTGTTCTAAATGTACAATTTTAAGCTGATCATTTTCATTTAATTGTTGCAAATTTTCATATCCTATTCGTAATGATTCATTTTTTTGTTGTTGTCGATAAAGATTATCATTTAATTCACCAATTTTTTCATTCAATTCGTTAATTTGTTTTTCATAATCATTACGTTTATGATACCAAATTTGTTGAATTTGTTCACGAATTGTTATGGACATTTGTTGTTGTTGTTGCTGATGATTATCAGCTACATTATCATCATTATTTTGAATCGAAATCAATTGATTCATACATTGTTTTAATGAATCCTGAAGAATTTGATTTTCTTTACGTAAATTTTCAATAATTTTATCTTTTTCCATCAACATTATTGCTGCCAGAAAACATCAATAAATTTAATTAATTAATTAATCAATCAATCAATCAACTCAAACGTCATACCTGATGTTTGTTCATTCGAACGAGCCGATTCGATCATTTTCAAATTGACCATTATTTTCTTTTCTTGTTGTTGTAATTTCAAACGATATTCTTGTGATTTTTGTCGTTCCAATTTCATAATTGAATAAAGTTTTTCAAAAATTTGTTGACATTCCAATGATATACGTTGAAAACTTTTTTTATTATTTAAAATTTGTTGATATTTTAACCATAATGAATCGATTGCTGTTTGATCATCATCAACATTATCGACATTCAAATTCATCGTTGTCGGTGATGATTTATCATTAGTTGCTGTTGTTGTTGTCCGGGTGGCTGTTGTTGTTGTCCGGGTTGCCGTCATAATCATCATCGACAACATTGATTCATCAGTATCGATGTTTTTGGATGATCCATTTTCATTTATCATTGAAGAAGAAACCGAAGGGTTATTTTGCCGTAATGAATCAATGGAATTTTGTTGTTGTTCAATAATCGATTCTAATCGTATGATTTCTTCTTTTGCATCCTGTATTAATATTATGGCATTTTTTAGGGTTAAATCTTTTTCCATTGAACTTTGTTCTTCTTCTTCTACTTCTTCTTCTTCAGTTGGTTCCTTAAATGTTACCGAACGATCATTTTGTGAACGTGAACGTCTTGATGAATTTGTGACCATTTTTGATGATCGACTTAAATTTAATGGACGAAAATAAAAACCAAGACCCGAATCAATACGTGAACGAACATTTGAATAGGCACTTTTTGTATTACGTAATGGTAGCTTTTTTGCCATCATCGATGATTGTTGATGATTTATTGATGATTTTGGTCGATGTTGTTGTTGTTGTTGTTGTTGATTATCGATTGTCGTATGATACATTAATTTTAAACGTTCACGAAGACGTTCATTTTGTTGTTGTTGTTGTCGTAATTGTTGTTCTAATTCAAACATTTTTTCTTCCATTGTTATTTCCAATTCAGGTTTAAAATTTTTTAATATACGTTTTTTTTCCATTAATAATCTTGACATACGTGTATTCAAACGTTTAATCTGTTCACGTGCATCATTTATATCACGTTTTAATTGTTGATGTTGTTCTTGTAGATTATCATAACGATTTTTTAATTCATTATCATTACCATAATACATTTGGTGATTATGATTATGATTAATCATTGTTGTTGTTGTTGTAGTGGAATGTTTAGCCATCTGTAATAAACATGGTGTTGATTTATGACGTAACATTTTTTTATTATTTATTTCTTGGCTATCGATTGATTGAATTGATCAAAACAATTATGAAATTATGGTTATTGAAAAGATCTGATTATGTGAGATGTTTTGTTTTGTTTTTCAGGCCGGCAGGATTATTCATTTCATTTCATTTTTTTAGCATGGTATCCATGGTGATCACCAAAAAACAGAAAACAACAAATGAAGAGGAATGATTCAGAAAAATCAAACATGATTTTATTATATCAAATTTAACAATGTTTTTTTTCAAATATTTAATATTATGATTACAAAAGTAAAAACAAATGTAATGATGATGTTGTTTTGGGGAGATCAATTTATAAATCAATCAAATGAAATTGTAATTTTTTAAAAAACAAAACAAAACAAAATTAAAAATTAAAAAGAAAAATACAAAAAATAAAAAAATAATAAAGAGATCAAAAATTGAAAATGAAAATTTTACAAATTAATAATTTAAAAAAAAAGAAAAAATTACAAAGAAAAATCAAATATTGAATGAAATTATTTGAGAGTTAAGTGGTTGCATTTCAATTTTCATTGGATCGGAAATAAATTCATTATCATCATCATTATTATCATCATCATGATGATCATCGTTAGTCGATATTGGATGATAGCCATCATTTAATGTTGTTATTGATGTTGTTGAATGATCATTATCAAATTTATTGATTCCATTATCGATTGTAACAACATTATCGTAATCATCAACATCATCATCATCATCATTATTTGATGATGACATTTTTAAACATTCTTTTGATTCAATTAATTCGGTTGTTGTTGTTGTTGATGCTATTGATAGATGACCACCACCACCACTACTATTACCAAAACCATTTAAACCACCACCACCATTACTACCGGTAACAGCCATCGTTGTTGAACTTGGTGATAAAAATGATGTTGTTGTTGTATATGATATACAGGAATCACGTGATCGCATATTTTGTTGTGAATGATTATGATGATTATTATTATGTTGATTATGATGAATTTTTGTTGATCCTAAAATATTGATTTGTTCATCATTATTAGTATTATCATCATTAATATCCATTGAATTTTGTTGTTTAAATAAATTATTATTATAATTATTATTTGTACGGGTAACATTAGGATTATTAGGATTTTTACCTATTCATTTGAGAATTGGAAAGAAAATGAAATGAATTAGCAAAATTAGCAATTATATCGTGGATTAATCAAGTGTTAATTAATTGAAAATAAAACAAACAAAAAAAACAGAAAAAAAGGTTAAACGTGCATAAAATTATCATCATCATCATCATTAACAACAACAACAATATCAAACATTGCGATTGTTTGGTTAGTTAGAATTGGTGGTGAATTTCTATATTTATGATAAGTGCGATTTGTAATTAAGAGATGCACACGCCATTCCACAATCGTTATAATTTCCAAAATTTTCGTTCATTAAAAAAAACAACAACAACAAACAAAAAACTTAATAACAAGCTATCAATCGATTAAGAAAAATAAAAAAGAAATTTTTGTAAGAAAAAATTAGTATTTTTTAAAAAGAAAATAAATAATAAAAACTTTTCATTTACAAGATAATCATTTGTTTAAATCTATAAAGATTTTTTTGTTTTCTCGAATCGAGTTACCTGAAATATTTGCTGATGAATGTTTAAATGATTTTATATTATTATTATTATTATTATTATTGATTACTAATTTTCTATTCTGATTAATCTGATTATGTTGTTTATGATGATGATGATAATTATAATATGCAGTTGTACGATAATATGTTGTTTTATGTGCAGGATACTCGCCTCCATAACGTAATGTACGACGTAAACGGAAACGTTGAAAATGATTTCGTAATGAATTTCTTACTTCACCATTACAAAAACAATATAATACAGCAACTGTAAATCCCTGTTTTATTTTTGGAATTATAATATGTTGTTATGATATTTGTAATATAATTTTAAAAATTTCTTCATTTTACCTGTGTGGATACAAGTATAGCTTGTGAATACTGAAATATCCATTTGGCTGTTGGATGTGTTGGTGTGACCAATACAAACATATAGCCAACACCTAATAATGGAATGAGTACTAATAAGGCTTTTGCTGCTTTACGACGTTGTTTTGATTCAATTGAATTTGATGAACGTAATTTTGTAATCAATACCCACATTATTTTACCAAGAAAAAATATGTTTATCTATATTTTCAAAATTATTATTTAAAACGTTAATTTAAAAAAAAACGAAAAAAAACCTAGAAACTTACAATCAAAACTACTAGGATAGGTACTTTATAGATGTTATCATATTCATCTTGAGCTTGAAATGGACACCTGTCAAGGAAAAAACGGGATTTTCAATATTAAAAATTTGTAAAAATTCATTTAAAAAAATTCTCTTACTGAACCAATTCAGAATCATAATTGGAGAAATAAAATTTTGTTAATAACCAACATAAAATAATTAATGCAGGAAATGCCCAACCAATTATTAAATATTTAGTTATTTTAACAAATTCAATTGAAAATGTTTTTACAACTAAAATATAAAGATACAAGCCTTCAACGAACATCCAGAAAAAATTTGTACCCATTAAATATGTTAATAATATAACCGTTATGCATGATGCTTTTTGTGATGTTGGTGATGGATATGCATGTAAACGATCAGTTGTTATCCAACAAATTGCAATTAATCTATTGAAGAAGAGAAAAATACAAACAAACCAAATATATTTTTTGTAAACATAATTGTCTGTCAAAACTTACAAATAAGTAGCCATTAGATTTGTATGGATAATATTACGTACACAACGTAAATCTCTATCATAAAAACAAAGAATAATAATGATAAACATTGAAATTCAAATTTAAAATTGTTTACTTGAAATAAAGAAATATGAATAATGCAATCGATAATGCTAATAATGATAATCCATATCCAAAATAATATATATAGGTTGTATGAAGATTCTAAATCAAAACAAAGTAGAAAACAAAAGAATTAACCATATGATTGATTAATCACATCCATCAATCAATTTACCTCGATCGGTATCGGTATGGCTGTATTCAATGCTTTACATTGATCATAATCAGCTCGTTCAGCCCAAGTTCCATTTGGTAAACACATTCGTGTTGCATTTTCTTTTTTTTTAAATTTTTCATTGATGAAAAAGAAAAAATCAAACAAAACAAAAACTTACGACTTGTATCATATTTAATACCATTAAAATGTGAAAAACAAGGTATAATTGCTTCATTACCGGCTAATGTACGCATCCAACAAGATGCACCATCCCATGCTGATGGACAATATTTTCCTAATGATGATAATAATGATGATGATGATGATTCATTATCATTGATATCGTTTAAATCTAAAATTTTAAAATTTCAAACAAAAAAAATGAAAATGAAAATTTCCATCAATCAAATATCGATCAATATTAATTATCAATGCATGTGATTGCCTAAATATGTTTTTTAAAAAAAAATCGATCAAAAATCAATCAATCGATCGATCGATCGATCGATCGATCGATCGATAAATTATTTCAATCTGAATATTTTTTTTGTTGCTGTTATCAGAAAAAACAAGAAGAAAAACACCCAAAATAACAACAACAAATCTTTCAAACTGAAAAGAATTTTCTTTTTTCTGATCTGGAATATGGCCAAAAATTGTCAAAAAAAAAAAAAAAAATCTCATTCATTCATTCATCAAAAATCACTGGAGAAACAAAACTGACAATTTCATAAATCAAATTCTGAAGAAAACTCAAAAAACTAGAAAAACTTTTGCTGAAAATTCTTATTCTGCAGTTCAACAGAATCATTTTTCAGAATTCAACAGAATAAAAAAAATGTTCAGTTTGATTGGAAAAAAGAGAAAAAAGAAGAAGACCCAAATATGCTCATTGCCTACTATAGTAAATTGTTTGTTTGTTTGTTTGTTTAGCCAAAGAAAGTATTTTTAAAACGATTTGATTTATTCATTAATTGAATTTTCGTTAATTAATTAAATAAATTACAAAAAGATCAAAAACAAAAGAAATAATTACAAAAAAAAGAACAANAAAATTTCCATCAATCAAATATCGATCAATATTAATTATCAATGCATGTGATTGCCTAAATATGTTTTTAAAAAAAAAATCGATCAAAAATCAATCAATCGATCGATCGATCGATAAATTATTTCGATCTGAATATTTTTTTTGCTGCTGTTATCAGGAAAAACAAGAAGAAAAACACCCGAAATAACAACAACAACAACAACAAATCTTTCAAACTGAAAAGAATTTTCTTTTTTCCTTCTTCTTTTCTGATCTGGAATATGGCCAAAAATTGTCAAAAAAAAATCTCATTCATCAAAAGAAACGAAAAACAAAACTGACAATTTCATAAATCAAATTTTGAAGAAAACTCAAAAAACTAGAAAAACTTTTGCTGAAAAATTCTTATTCTGCATTTCAACCGAATCATTTTTCAGAATTCAACAAAAAAAATGTTCAATTTGATTTGAAAAAAGAGAAAAAAGAAGACCCAAATATGCTCATTGAATAGTAGTAATTTGTTTGCTTGTTTAACCAAAGAAAGTATTTTTAAAACGATTTGATTTATTCATTAATTGAATTTTTTTTCGGTTAATTAATTAAATAAATTACAAAAAGATCAAAAACAACAAAAGAAATAATTACAACGAAAAAAAAACAACAACAACAGAAATAATTACAAAACAAAACAGTATTTTTTGGCTATAAAAACAATAAAATCAAAAAAAAAAAAAAAAAAATCAAATTTTTGTTGTTGTTGTTGCGGGGGGAAAACATTTCCGTGGTAACAACGAAAATGACAACAAAAATGAGAAATAAAGTTAATTATCCTATTTTGTAATGAATAATTAATTCATTACAAAATTGATGTTGATGATGATGATGATAATTTGTATTTTATTACACAAAACACACATACAGTTTTTCGATTCTTAAATGATAATTTTAATTTGATTTTAGTAAATCTTATTGAATGATCATTATCATCATCATTCCTGTTACGTAAATTATATGATGGTTTTAAATCCGACCTAAAAAACAATTCTTATTGTCTGATTTTTGTCATTTTTTGAGCCGGTTATTGTTGTTTTGGGATTTTTTTTCAAATTTCAAGCTAAAACAATTTTGGTTTCTGGCTTTTGGTTTTCTGGTTTGTCAATCTCTCTAGGGTAATCTTTCTATTTGTAAATGGTTTTTGATATTTATTTTCATTTTATGTTCCAAAATTTTTGTGAACAAAAAAAAAGAAAATGAAGCCAATCAAGCCAACACCAACACCCAAAAATAAAAAAAAAATAAAAACCAAAACAGTATGTGGTGATAATGTTGTGGTGATGGCTTTCATCATCAGAAAAATCAATCCATTTGCAAATTTACATTTTGGATTCATTCATTCAATGAATGAATGAATGAATGAATGAATAACATTGAAAAACACAGTAGTAGGTGATTGTGGAACAACAACAAAAGCAAAAGAATGACATAATTTTTTGGGGTTTTTGGTTTTTTGATGATTTCATTTACAATGATTTAATGTAATGCAACATAATCATCATGAGAATAATAAATTCATCATACTGGAAAGAGAGAAAATAATGTAAATTTTCAATGTGATGAATTTTGTTTGTTTGAGTGTTTTGTTTGAAAAATCAATATACCCAGATAAAAATCGAATAAATATTTGTAATTTAAAAAAAAAATAATATACTTTTATCATGTGTGTGGATAGAGGAAATAATGAAAATTTGTAATGGAATGTTTATTATTGAATTTTAATCAGTAAGCAAACTTACCTGTAAATTTAATAAAATCATTGAATAATGATTCTGTTGATGTTGTTGTTGTTGTATTTGTCAATTCTATATGATTAGTTTCATTATGTAACCATTCTCGTAATAAATTTGTATCATCATTCAATGATGATGATGATGATAATTTTGATTCAGTTGATGATGTTAAATTTAAATGATATAATAATGATGATAATGATGTTTGATCTAAATCAGTACAATTATTTTCAATTGCCATTTTAAGTGATGTTAACAAATGATTTATTAGTTTATTATCATCATCATTTTGTTTAGTTATATCATCATCAATTGATTGTTGTTGTTGTTGTTGTTGATCAATAATCGTTATATTCATCATCTTTGCTGTTGTTGTTGTTGTCGTAGCGGATGGCAATAGTAAATGTTGTTGTTGTTGTTGAGTAAATGCTGTTCGATTTTTCAAAATATATTCATATAAAATTGATGATAATGTTGTTGTTGTTGTTGTTGTTTGATCCATTTGAACATCATTATCATTATTATTATCCGGATGAATATTATTATGATGGCTACTGCCATTAGCCATACGGAAATTCATTCAATTCAAAATAACATAAATAAATTCAAGTAAGTAAGTGTGTATATAAAAACCATTAAAGTGAGAAAAAAAAACAACTTTTTACTAACGATAATGATGATGACCAAAATATTATTCAACAACAACACTTTAATAACATTATTATTATTATTTGGACGATGATGGTGATAAATTGATTGATTGATGATCCAAAAACGAAACGGATAATGGAAAAAAGAAATGGAGAAAAAAAATGAAAATGTCATCATTATTATCAGGTAAGAAACGAAAAAAAAAGTTATATTCTTTTTTTTTCTTCAACCACCATAACTATATAAAAATAATTATTTTGTTTAGTTTTTTTGTTTGTTGTTTACCGACGGTAAGATGATAATACCATTGTGATTAATCTTATACATTACATATTATGAGAGGGAGAGAGAGGGAGAGAGATGGCATTTCTTTTTTTAAATGCCGGTTTTTCTGATGGATTAAGTTTGTTTGTTTTTTTTTGTTTGGTTTAGGTTTCTTCAAATTTATTTTTAGATTCAATTCAATTCATTTATTCAATGATTAAGATGATGATATCGATGATAGACGATTACAATTGTGTTCATTGTAATCATTAAAACTTTTACTTTACTTTACTTAACAATCATCACCTACACACACACAGCACTGTATAATAATCATTGTGTATAATAATTATTATTTTTAGGAAAAATGAAATTAATCAAGTGTTAACCTTATTAAATGTCCCACCAGTGTCGTCATCCAGAAATCAACCAGAAATGATTAGGTGAGGGAAACAACAAAAACAAAAACAAAATAGGAAGGACAAATTCTTTGTCAATAATAATAATAATTTAAATGACAGAAAAATAAAACTATGGTCGGTAATCAAAACCAAAATATTTAAAGAGAAATATGAAAATTGGATCATTCATTGGATGGATAACAGTTGGATGACAACAAATATGTGGTTGTAGATCCGAAAAATAAAATGATCCATAATACAGGTATAGGTTTTCACTCTATTTTTTTCCCTCATTTCATCATCATCATCATTCTAATATAATTGAGTTGTCAAGTCATTTTCTATTTGAATGTTTCCGCCGATTGTTTGATAATATTATTTTGTCAAACTAAGAGAGAGAGAGAGAGAGAGAAACATAAAATTTTGTAAGTAATGTTTTTCCTGTGAAATGAAAACAAAATTAACATCGTCTGTATTAGTGTTAACATTTAAAATATCTTATCAGGTATTTTCTTACCTAACTCTCTCTCTCTCTCTCTCTCTCTCTCTCTCTCTCTTTCGATGACAACCTGCAAAAATAATAAAAATAAAATATAGAAAAGAAAACA